TTGTGTGATATTGTTTATATGTGGAATCTAAAAAAAAATTATACAAATGAACTTATTTACAAAATAGGAACAGACTCACAGACTTAGAGAATGAACTTATGGTTACCAGGGGGGAAGTGGCGGGGGAGGGATAGTTGGGGAATTTGGAATTGACATGTACACACTGCTATATTTAAAATGGATAACCAACAAGGACCTACTGTGTAGCACAAGGAACTCTGCTCAATATTCTGTAACAACCTAATTGGGAAAAAAATTTGAAAAAGAATAGATGCATATATATGTATAACTGAGTCACTTTGTTGTATACCTGAAACTAATACAACATTGTTAATCAACTATACTCCAATATAAAATAAAAAGTTAAAAAAAAAAGAAAATGGTGTCATTGAGGAAAGCAAGAAATTCATTTTAGGAATTCACACTTTGGGGGACAGACTTTGATGGATTGCTTCTGTCTCTTCTTTGGCCCCAGTCAGATAAATTCTCTCCCTTCTTCATCTCCTCTGCATTCACCCCAAAGAGGCCATGTTTCTCATGGCTCTGCCTAGCTCGTTGGTAGCTCAGTAACGTACTACCTTGGGTTTGCTTTGTCTCCTTATATGTCTTTCTTCCCTTTCACTTATTCACATCCAGGCATTGAACCCTCCCTTTCCAAAGTGTCAGTTTGTCCCTATGCCTCAGGCTACCTTTTTGAGGTGAAATAGTGGCTTCCAGACTTCTTTGACCACAGCCTATAGTAAGAAATATGTTTTATGTTGTGACCCAGTACCCACACACTCAATAAACACATACCTGAAACAACAGTTTCAGGAAATAACCTAACCATTACTAGGTGTCCTGTACTTTGACTTTTTTTTCTATTTCGTTTCATTTAAAAAAATGCTTGTTATACCCCCTGTATTGCTGGACCGAAGTGTAGGAACGTTTATAATTTTGTTAATATATTGATATATTGTCCTCCATAAGTCAGCACCTATTTCTACTCCCACCAGCAGTGCATGAGAGTAATGCCAAAACTGATACTATAAATGCTTTGAAAATTCTGCCTTTAGAGTATGTGACTCATCAATGTCCTCAAACTTGTTCCACTCCTGTCTTGCCTGGGGATAGAGTATCTTGTGCATTAACTCAGCTCCTTTTTCAGTAGTAGTGGGAGAGCGAAAAAGAAGACTGTGGGTTAGTTGAACACTTTAGGATTCCATCCTGATTTATTTATAATGTTTTGATTGTATCTCTTTGGATAGCTTTTTTGTGGTTGTTCTAGGTACTTTATGTATAGGTAACTTATTATAGTCTACTGGTTAACTCCCTTTACCCACCCCCTCCATTTCTAATTTTCTCTCTATATATTGAGAACCGTATCACACAGTGTTAATAATTTCTGCTTAAATCATCAAAAATAATATAGAAGACTTAGGAGAAGGAAAAGGCTATTGTATTTACCCATATTCTTCCTCTTTCCAGTTTTTCTCTCCTGATTTTCCAATATTCCTTCTTTTATCATTTCCTTTCTGTTAGAAGAACTTCCTATAGTCATTCCTTTTTTTAAGGCAGGTCTACTGATGACACACTCTCTTAGTTTTCTGTCATTTGTGGATATTTTAATCTCCCTCTCTTTCCTGAAGGATATTTTGTCTGGATATAGAATTCTGGGTTGGCAGTTCCTTTCTTTCAATACTTGAAGAATGCTTCTGGGCATCAAAAATATGAATAGATATTGAAATTCAGAATGTTTATTATGACCATAATGGTCTAAGTGTTAACAGAAAAACTTTTTTTGGAATTATAATTACTACGAGTATACCATAAATGTATTATTGATTTTATTATTAAACAATTACTAGATGTAAATGTATCTTTTCAGAGGGGACTTTTCTTTTCATGGAATTTATGTATCCATAGATGAATATTATGTATATGTTAGAATGAGACTGGTTTCAGTGGAAATTAATAGTAAAAAGAAAAGATGTTGGGTCACTAATAAGTGTGAAGTTTACAAAACACTTATGCTTTTGTTAAGTATATCATTTATAGTAGGATTTACAGTATATTCCTGCTAAACTAATCTATATGTAATATGTCCATATAGGAATGAAAAACAAGCAGAGAAATGCATGGAATGTGACAGTGTAAAGACTTGTCCCAGTTTTTTAAAAAATATGGATTTACTGTGTGCAGTATTCTTTTCATAAAAGTTAATAAAAATGTTTCTCCATAAGTGTTCAAGAAAATATAAAACACTAACTTAACTTTGATATGTGTTACGTTTACTTGAAGATATGATGTTAACTGAAGTAAGGGATCTTTTCAACTGTTTGAAATCATGTAAAATATCTTCACATCACAGACACAAGATACAGGTGATTGATGGAATGTACTAATTTCTTTCTCATTTCTCTGAGAATGGTGAAAGTACAGATGTTGAGTTCTAATTTAAGATGCTTCCCAGATCTTGAGTTCTAAATAATTCCATACAAATTATGTAAGGAGTCTGGCCACAAGCTTGTAACCTGGATGAACTAAGTTCTAGCTGTCTTCAATATTTATCATCACTGTTTTCGTTGGATTCTCTCAGATGAGCTTCTTAATCAGAAGGTTGTTTTTATTCTCACATCCTGAAGTTTTAACAGTGCATTGGGGCCAGGCCAGAATATCTGCTTTTTAATGTCATGTATTGTTCTTAACAGAGGTGTATGGGACAGGGAAAAATAAGACCACCTTGGATATATGGTACTTCCATTAGAGGATACTCCCTTGATATCAATATTTAAAATTATTCCTTTGGTGTTCTGGATGTTTCTACAGGGAAATGCATTGTAGTGAATTTTAGATGTGTAAGAGATACATCTTTCTCTTGTGAACTGTAAGAAGGAAGATACAAAATACACTGTAGGAAAGGAGAAAGCAGTATGATGCTCTGACCTTGATATTAGTTCTAGTAGCTGGTTGGTAATTATAGACATGAAGGATTTGGAAATTGATTCCCTAAAACCATCTGGTCCCTAATGTGAAGACTACTGGATTAAGGTGTAATCTTTCTTCACTAGGTTATAGCCTTGAATCCTCTACTGTGTAATATTCATCTGCTTTTTATCGTTATAACTGTTTTGAGTCCCTTAAGGACCTTCATCATTGTGGGCTGATTACCGGTACTTTGCTGTGCTCTCTTTTCTCTTTTTCATTCTTCATGAGTGTGTTCCTCAGTGGAACAGATTTTTTTTTTTTAATTAAGTTATACTTGACATACAACATTAGTTTCAGGTATACAACATGGTGATGAGATATTTTTATATGTTATGAAATAATCAGAACAAGTCCACTCACCTTCTGTCACTATACAAAGTTGTTACTGTATTACTGACTGTATTCCCATTACTTCCCCTTGACTTAGTTTATAGCTGGAAGTTTTATACCACTTAATCCCCTTCACCTGTTTCATCCATCATCCTCTTCTCCCAGCAGTTTGTGCTCTCTGAGTCTGTTTCTGTTTTGTTTCGTTTGTTTATTTTTCTTGTTTTTTGGATTCCACATATGAGTGAAATAATTCAGTATTGGTATTATTATTTTTTTTAACATCTTATTTGGAGTATAATTGCTCCACAATGGTGCGTTAGTTTCTGCCCCATAACAAAGTGAATCAGCTATACGTGTACATATATCCCCACGTCCCCTCCCTCCTGCGTCTCCCTCCCACCCTCCCCATCCCACCCCTCTAGGTGGTCACAAAGCACCGAGCTGATCTCCCTGTGCCATGCGGCTGCTTCCCACTAGCTATTTATTTTACATTTGGTAGTGTATATATGTCCATGCCACTCTCTCACTTCGTCCCAGCTTACCCTTCCGACTCCCTGTGTCCTCAGGTCTATTCTCTACATCTGCGTCTTTATTCCTGTCCTGCCCCTAGGTTCTTCAGAACCATTTTTTTTCTTTTTGTCTGACTTATTTCACTTAGCATGATATCCTCAAGGTCCATCCACATTGTTGTAAATGGCGGGATTTAATTCTTTTTTATGGTAGAGTATGATTTGTGTGTGTGTGTGTGTTGTGTATACACCACATCTTTGTTATCTGTTTATCTATTGAAGGACGCTTAGGTTGCTTCTGTATCTTGGGTATTGTAAATAATGCTGCAGTGAACATAGGGATACATACATCTTTTCAAATTAGTGTTTTTGTGTTCTTTGGATAAATACCCAGAAGTGGAATTGCTGGATCATATTGTAGTTCTATTTTCAGTTTTTGGAGGAACCTCTATACTGTTTTCCATAATGGCTGCACCAATTTACATTCCCACCAAGAGTGCATGAGGGTTCCCTTTTTTAGTGGAGCAGCTTTTTATTCTTTCTCTTCCTCCTTCTTTAACATGTATATATATTTTTTATTCACAATCCACTCCCCTCAGGTTTTAATTTTCCTCTATGCATCAGATTTTGTCTGTATGGTTGTTGAATTTTCATTCATTCAAAAAACTTAGGATATGTTACAAAAACATAATTGCCAGTTGTATTTCAATGACTGAAACTCCATGACGGCAGGAATTTGGTGTGTTTTTCCCCTAATCATTGGATATGTAGAACCTATCATGAAGTAAGTGAATGAATGAGCATGAAACAAAATTTCCAGCTCTTTCTCTAACAGAGAAATAACCAAATTAATGTTGTAAAGTCTTTTGTTTTTGTTAATTAATCTTTAAAATAGTACTTTTCTGATTTAATGGTAATTAAAATGCTTTTAATATTGTGGTAAGTATCATTAACATTTCTGATAATTTTAATTGTTAATAAAAATTAATGACCATGATTGGGCTATTTCATAAAACCGTACTGGAAATAAAGGCTTATAAAAGCACCTACCTCATAGGGATGTTGTGAGGATTGAATTAGTTAATACGTGTAAAGCACTTAGAACTGGACTTCACCCATAGTAAAATGCTTGGCAACTATTAATTTGTAACTGAGAATGGTGCTGAAACTGACTTCTTCCCCATCATTTTGCAGGAGGGCCCCTGATGGTCAGTTGATCAATTCATCCATTCATAGGGAGGCTGGCAGTTTTCCCTCAGGCCTTTGCAAAAGCCCCCTGAAAGGATCATCCTCCACAGGACTTTGACTCACCTTCCTTCCCAGGAGTCAACCTCTAAGACCCTTGAGGCTAGGGGACTGGGAAGAGCTTCAGAATGGCTAATATATTGCAGTCAAGTGGTGAGAGTTTAAAATGGTCTCTGCCTGTTAGCCCTGTGTGACTGAGTGATGCAGGGCAAGTTGCTTCACTTCTTACTTTCCTCCCTTGCCCATCTCATCTCAGAGAATGACTTTCTCATCCCTTTTCTTACACTGAGCAGCCATACTAGATTTCTTTTACTTGCACACAAACGCCATATCCTCTCCTACATCTGGCCCTTTGAACATGCCATTCCCTTCTAATGAAACTTGTTCTTTCTCTCCCCTCCCCTCTTGCTTTATTTGGTCAGACCCTACTCATGCTTGCATTAATTGCCTCTTTTTTAGGAAACCTTTCCTAACTAGTTCCCACTAGCCTGGTTTGTATCTCTGCCATGCTTTCCCTTCACATCATCATGATTCTTAAAGCCTTTCATCCCATTTGGAGTTGCCCTACAGACTGAGCTCCCGGAGGAATTGATGGAATCTGACATGTTCATTGCTGCATCCCCTATTCCTGGCACATAGGAAGCCCCAATTAATGCTGTATATGTGGATGGGAAAAAATACTGGCGGTATTGTTACTTAGAATTTGGTTAACATTATTTCCACAGCTGCCCTTGTTTTACAGATTTTGTTTTTTGTTTTTTGTTTTTCCTGTAAAGCTGCTGAAACTTAGAAGCTGATTTTGTCACAGTGTAAGATGCCTTTGGAAAATTCTGCATTCCTCTTAGATGAATCTTTACAACTTGGTGAGTTTCACTAGATATATTCAATCTTCATTTTGAGCTCAGAAGTATGCCTTCTCTTTTTTTCTTTTTTCTGTTTTCCCTTTCCTTTTCCTTTTCCTTTTCCTCCCCTCCCCTCCCCCCCTTCCCTTCCCCTCCCCTTTCCTTTCCTTGTTCCCTCCCTCCCTCCCTCCCTTCTTTCCTTCCTTCCTTCCTTTTCTGTCTTAATTATTGGGTACAGTGTGGTTTACAGTCTCCTGGCAAGGCACATAGGACAGAGTATTATAAAAATATTTAGGACATGATCGGCTACCTTCTTTGATAGTTTTTATTTATCTTTAGATTTTTTATTCTTCAGAGGAATGAAACATTATTTATTGGTAAGATAATTGACATCCAGATGTATTTTCTTTCAGCAATTCTTGAAATTTTTCAAAGTTACTACCTGAAAGTAAGAATTATAACTTGTCTTTTTTTGAGAGAAAGGTGATTTGCAAATGACTGAAAAGTAGAATAAGAATTATTTCCTGTCAGGTTTTAGGTTTAGAGATAAAGAAGCAGTTGACTGAGGTACAGAAGGGCCAGTCACCTACTGCATGTCTGCCTTACAAGCAAGTCTCTCCATCAGGGGTCTGCACACCACCAAATCCAGCTTGCTGCCTGTTTTTTTATGACCTGTGAACTAATAATAGTGTTTACATTTTTAAATGGTTGGGGGAAAAAAAATCCTGGAAGCAGAATACTATTTTATGATATGTGAAAATTATATGAAATTCAGGTTTTAGTGTCTGTGAATAAAGCTTTATTGGAATACAGCCACTCTTATTTTTTACATATTGTGTATGGCTGTTTTCAAGCTATAGTGGCAGAGTTAGGTAGTTGCATCAGAGATGTTAGGGCCCAGAAAGCCAAAAATATTTACTTTGTGACCCTTTACAGAATAAGTTAGCTGACCCCTTCTCTACCTGGGTAGAGAAGTATCTCTAGATTGAGTGCAAAGTAAGAGATGAGTGGGGGAAAATTAGAGGGAGGTAAGAGTTGATACCAACTCTCAGTGACTGACTTACACTTTTTTCGTGTCCTGGAAAGCATAATCCATATTCTCATTAGACTGACCTGTGTTACTGTTTTAAAATAGAAAATAAGAAGTTGATTGTCCTATTACTTTTCTTCTAAAAGGAATGGACATTTGTAGAAAGAAAATTAGTATAGTACTCTGTTTTTTACCATGTTTTAGTGTTACCATAATAACTTAAGCAGACTATCCTCTAAATCATGAAGGATTAAAAGGAGCAGGTATCAAGCACACTAAAATAGTAGCTCATAATGCTTTGCTTGGCGATGCCCTCACAGGAAACAGCAGTGATAAAAATTAAGCCATAAATGAAAGTTCAACTAAGTTATGTTATTTAGGGTTGGTAAATTTCGTGCCAGCCACTGTGGTCATACGATTAACCCAAATTAATAGAAAATCGGTGTAAAATGTGTTAAAGAATAATAAAAAATAAAGTTAAGTTCTAGCTAAGCCTTAGAAAGCTATAGCTATTTAAAAATGAACTGCAAAAGTGACTTTAACGGTTACTGATCACATGACAGCTAAGACCCCAAATGGGACTAGATAGCCCACTATGCTTAGCCCTACATGCAAATAATTATCATAACAAAATTATTTGCCGGAGTACTACTAGCAATAGCTTAAAACTCAAGGGACTTGATGGTGCTTCATTCCCCTCTAGAGGAGTGTGTTCTCTCTATAATCGATAAACCTCACCAACATTTGCTAATTCAGTCTGTATACCGCCATCTTCAGCAAACCCTGGAAAGGAATAACAGTAAGCATAATTATTATACATAAAAACATTAGGTCAAGGTGTAACTTACGGGATGGGAAAAAATGGGCTACATTTTCTATTTCAAGAACATATTTCTTATTATACAAAAGTTTTGATGAAGGTAAAAACCAAAGGAGAATTTAGTAGTAAATTAAGAACAGAGTGCTTAGTTGAGTCAGGCCGTGAAGCATGCACACTCGGCCCATCACCCTTCTCAAGTATTAATAACTCTTATAACTTCTTAGCAAGTACCAAACATATGAGAGGAGATAAAGTCGTAACAAGGGAAGCATACTGGAAAGTGTGCTTGGATAAATCAAAGTATAGCTTAAACAAAAGCACCTAGTTTACACTCAGGAGATTTCAAAGTGTATGGATACTTTGAACTAAATCTAGCCCAAGCCTCCCACAAATTCAACTATTATAAGCAGATTGAATAAATCATTCACCCAATATTTAAAGTATAGGAGATAGAAATTAAAAGCTTTTTGGCACTATAGAGAAAGTATTGTAAGGGCATGAGGCAAGAAGCATTACAAGTAATAAAAAGTAAAGCTTCCCCCTTTTGCCTTTTGTATAATGATTTAACTGAAATTTTTAACAAAGAGAACTTAAGTTAAATACCCCAAAGCCAGACGAGCTACTTAAGTACAGTTTATTAGAACAAACTCATCTGTGTGGCAAACTTGTGAGAAGATTTATAAGTAGAGGTATAACGAGCCTGTTGATAGCTGGTTGTCCAGGAAAAGGATCTTAGTTCAACTTTAAAAACTATTCAAAAAATCATAAATTTTAATGTATTTTTAAATACTAATCTAAAAAGTTGCAGCTTTTTAGAAACAGGATACAACCTTATCTAGAGAGTAAAAATAACACCATAGTTGGCTTAAAAGCAGCCATCAGTTAAGGAAGCGTTCAAGTTCAACAACACATTTACCTTAATACCACCAATAAGTAAATCAACTCCTAGTTTAATACTGGACTAATCAATTAATAGAAGCAATAATGTTAATATGAGTAACAAGAAATATTTGTCCTTGCATAAGCTTATATAAGTAATAGATATCACTGGTAGTTAACAACAAATAAACCTAAGTCAATGTTAGATTATTTATTAAAATTACTGTTAACCTGACACAGGTATGCACCTAAGGAAAGATTAAAAAGAGTAAAAGGAAATCGGCAAATACAAATCTTGCCTGTTTACAAAAAACATCACCTCTAGCATAACTACTATTACAGGCACTGCTTGCCCAGTGACATCTGTCACATGGCCACGGTATCCTGACCATGCAAAGGTAGTATAATCATTTGTTCTCTGAATAAGGACTTGTATGAATGGCCACATGAGGGTTTTACTGTCTTTTACTTTTAATCAGTGAAATTGACAAAATAAGATAAGAAGACCCTATGGAGCTTTAATAACCGCCCGCCCCCCCCAAAAAAGGAACTAAACCATCAAGGGATAACAAAACTTTTATATGGGTTAACAGTTTTGATTGGGGTGACCTCGGAGAACAAAAAAGCCTCTGAATGATTAAAACTTAGACCGACTAGTCAAAATATCTTCACTTATTGATCCAAAAAATTGATCAACGGAGCAAGTTATGCTAGGGATAATAGCACAATCCTATTCTGGAGTTCATGTCGACAGTAGGGTTTAGGACCTCGATGTTGGATCAGGACATCCCAATGGTGTAACCGCTATTAAAGTTAAGTTTGTTCAACAATTAAAGTCCTATGTGATATGAGTTCACACCAGAGTAACCCAGGTCAGTTTCTATCTATTACATATTTATCCCAGTACAAAAAGACAAGAGAAATAAGGTCTACTTTACAAAAGCACCTTAAAACTAATTAATGATATAATCTTAATTCATTAAAACACCCTGCCTGAGAACAGGGTTTGTTAGGGTGGCAGAGCCCAGTAATTATGTAAAACTTAAACATTTATTAGCTGTTCAACTCCTCTCCCTAACAAAATGTTTATAATTAACATTCTAACACTTATTGTCCCAATTCTTCTAGCTGTGGCATTCCTCACACTAATGAACGAAAAGTATTAGGTTATATACAACTTCAAAAAGGACCAAACTTCGTTGGACCATATGGCCTGTTACAGCCTATCGCCGACGAAGTTAAATTACTTATTAAAGAACCACTGCGACCAGCCACATCTTCTGTTTCCACATTTATTATCACATCCATTCTAAAAGTACCTAATAGTATATACCTTTTGTACAGTTTCTGGTTTTTTCTGTGTATGGAGATTACCTGTTATTTTTTTAAGTGAAAGTACTAGTACATTACTTGGAAACTAGTCGGTGACTGACTCAATGGAACAAAGCTAGTACGTACATTGGGGATGACGGTACATGTCCCTTTTGGAGTCAATGAGTAGATTGGAGGATACTCTTAAGGAGCTCTTCTGCAGTCTGACAGAGGCAAGTTAAGTTCTCTGTTAGGAGATTAAAGATCACGATTTCAGGATCTACCATTTTTGTTCCTCTAGAACATTTCATAGTTTTGTCTTTGGACACATTTTTCACGCTGCATCATAGTTGCTTCCTTTTCAAAATAGGAAAACATAATACTTTTCCTATCTGAAAGCAGGAATCTTAGGTTTACTAAATTATAAGTTTCTTAAGGGTAGGTACCATGACTGGTTTTTTTTTTTTTTTTTTTTTTGCTGTATGTGGGCCTCTCACTGCTGTGGCCTCTCCCATTGCGGAGCACAGGCGCCGGACGCGCAGGCTCATCGGCCACGGCTCATGGGCCCAGCCGCTCCGCGGCATGTAGAATCTTCCCAGACCGGGGCACGAACCCGTGTCCCCTGCATCGGCAGGTGGACTCTCAACCACTGCGCCACCAGGGAAGCCCTAAGTTGATTATATATTGTAATTTTTTGACATCTTGAGGGACAGGATTTCGAAACCACTAATCCACGAATTACCAATATCAAAGAAACCTAGAAACCTCCTCATTATAAAGCTTTAAAATGTATATATACTAAAGCCACTCTTGGATAGGAAGATTTTTGTATTCTCATCTTAGTCTTCTGAAACTTTTCCTAACTCTTCCATTGAATCTCTTTTTTTAATGAAACTTCCCTATATAGTTTGCTTAAGAACCCAAGTTTTAAAATCTTATCTTGCAGAGTACCTTGTAAGCATAAGACAGTTTAAAAGGTATTTAGCTGAAGGAAAACTTTCAGATTAAAGACGTCTAGGGAGATAAAATAGCTAATCCAATACATGACTCAGAACTGGACCCTGTACTAGAGGAGCCCTAAAGGACTTTATTTGCTCTCTTAAAAAAATAAACGTTAATATTGTATAATTGTTAAATTTCCTGAAGTTAGTAACTATCCTGTGGTTATTTAAGAGAATGTCTTTGTTCCCAGGCTGTACACATTTAAGTAATTGGGGGTAAAAGGACATGATATATGCAACTTACTCTCAAATGGTTCAGAAAATGTGTTTATCGGTATATAAAGAAAATGATGCACGTGTTAACAGTTGGCAAACTGGATAAATTATATGTAGAAGTTCTAATCCTAATATCATAGTTAAATATCTATTAGTACAACTTAGAACTTAAAAAAAACCTTAGGTATAGTTAATTAAATTTTCATCTATCCTATACTTTTCTTTAATGTTCACTTTGGCTTGTTTCATTAAAATCTATTAAGTTTTCCCTTAGCTCCATAAATATGCTTTGTTTGTTTTTAAAAGAGATCTGTTTTTATTGTCTTAAATATTTTGAAGGAAATTCAAGAGTAAGGATCTATTTTAGGGTTTTTCAAACTGGTATAAAGAATTGCAGACTTTTTTTGAACATTTACTTTGTGGTACACATTATTTTCTAAGCGCTTTACATTTAATAATTCATTATATTTCACAACAACCTTATGCTTACACCATGCCTTGATTTGCTTTTTTTTTTTTTTTTTTTTGCGGTACCCTGGCCTCTCACTGTTGTGGCCTCTCCCATTGCGGAGCACAGGCTCCGGATGTGCAGGCTCAGCGGCCATGGCTCATGGGCCCAGCCACTCTGCGGCATGTGGGATCTTCCCGGACTGGGGCACGAACCCGTGTCCCCTGCATCGGCAGGCAGACTCTCAACCACTGCGCCACCAGGGAAGCCCTGATTTGCTTTTTTCAAGTTTAGCTAAAACTGAGCTTAGATGCTAAGCCTCAGAAGCTTTGAATTTTCTTCTTTTTTTCCAAATACAAACTGTGGGAACTGGTGACCTGGAACTTAATATAGAAAATTGATTATATTTACATTAAGAAAAAAATATCATCTTAGAATTATCTAGTTTGTGAATATGAGATAGGTCTAACTTCAAGGTAAACTTTTGCCGTCATAATGTGGGAAGGATCCACATATCAAAACTGTCAGTAATTATCCAGGAAAAAGTAAATAATGACTTTAGTACCCAAGTAAGAGGCAGGTTGATGTAGAAACCTAGTTCTACTAGACTTCAATTTCACCAAGTAAAATAACCAAAAAATTAAAAATAAAATATCAAGAGACTGATATAGTATTGCTAACTTTTAATATGTTTTATATTGAATTAAAACATGCATATTATACAGTGCATAAATACTGAGTGTCATTTTGATGAAATTTTATGAAGTCAACACTCGTTTAACCAATACCAAGATCAAGATATAGAACATTTTCATCAATCCAGGAGCCTCCTTCATGCCCCCTGACAGTCATCACGCACTCCCAAAGGTAACTATTATTCTTGCTTGATTCACTATTCATTAGTATTGTCTATTTTTGAACTTCTTTTGGCTTTTTATGGTCAACATCTTGTTGATGTGTGTCATTCATATTGATTCATACAGCAGTAGCTCATCCTTTTTCATTGCTTTGTAATACTTCATTATATGTATATACCAAAATTATTCATCCATTGTACTGTTGATGAGCATTTGGTTTACTATCAGTTTTTGGCTGTTATGAACAATTCCACTGTGAACATTTTTGAACATTTCTTTTGGCACATATGTATGCATTTCTGTTGGATAAATATCCAGTGGTGAAAATGCTGGGTCAGGGTATTTGGCTGTTTAGCTTTTGTAGATGCTCCTAATGGTTGAATCAGTTTACACTTCCACCAACAGTGTACATGAATTCTTGTTGCTCTTCATCCTCAATAACACTTGAAATTATTAGTGTTTCAAATTAATAACTCTTCTGCAGTGTATGTAGTGAAATTTTATTGTAGTTTTGTTATTCCCTGATAACTTAAAAGGTTATCACATGTTTACATGCTTACTGACCCTTTGGATATCCTTTTCTGAGAAATGCCTGTTCATGTTATTTGTCCATTTTTCTATTGTGTTGTCTGTCTTACGGATTTGCAGAAGTTCTTTATTTCTAGGATAAGTTTTTGTTGGATTAGGTATTGAAGTTATCTCTTCTACTTCTTCACTCTTTCAGTAGTGTGTCTTAATTAAGATAATTTCTTAATTTTAATGAAGTCTATTTTATCAGAGTGTTCTTTTATGGTTAGTTTTGTGTGTTTTAAGGATTCTTTGTCTATCTCAAAGCCAAGAAGATACTGTGCTATGTTTTCCTCTATAAACTTGAGTGTTTTAACTTTCACATTTAGGTTTCTGCATGATGTGTGGTAGGATTCATGGTTTATTTTATTTTCCATTTGGAAATCCATTTGGTCCAGCATTATTTATTGAAAAGACTGTCCTTTCCTACTGTAATGCAGTAGTAGTGCCTTTGTTGTAATTCAGGTGACTTTATTTGTGGGTCTGTTTTTGGACTCTGTTTCTGTTCCATTGGTCTGTTGTTGTACCAGTGCCATACACTTTTAGTTATTATAGCTTTAAGTTCTCCAACTTTTGTACTTCAAAATTGCTTTGGTTCTTCTTGGTCCTTATGAATTTCAATAAAGATTTTACACTCAGCCTGTCAGCTTCCTAAATGAGTAAATAAATAACAAATCCCTGCTTAACATTAAGCAAGTTAAATATTATTTATTATTTCATATTATTATTGTCTAGTTTAATATTGAATCTGTAGGTCAATTTGGATATATTAAATATCTTTCCATATTGAGACTTTCAGTATGTTAAACACAGTATATCTCCATATATTTAGGTCTTTTAAAATTTCTCTCAGAAATATTTTGTGTATAGAGGCCTTAGACATCTTTTATTAACTTTTAAAGGTAATGATATTGTGGTGTGTGTTTTTTTTTTAAGTCCTTATAATTTGTACATTCGTACTAGAGTATTTACAGATGACATTGATATAGTTTTGGGGATTTGCTTCAAATAATACAAAGGAGGATGGGAAGGAATGGGGAAGGGGAAGAATAGATGAAACAAGATTGATCATGATTAGATAATTGTTGAAAATGGGTGATGAATATATGGGTTAATAATTATTCTTTTTTACTTTTGTGTATGTTTGAAATTTTCCTTAAAAATAGGTTCAAAAATATGTATAACAACTGAAGATTGAAACACAAATATATAAGAATTCAGAAGTTTATAATAATACTTAAAAAAAAACCCTCATTTTATTACTCTGAAAATCACTGGTAAATGAAAGAATCAACCATTTATTCTTCATTTTCTGTACAGATTTCATTCCAGGATAACCAAATAGTTAAGAGGGAAAGTTTACTGTTACAGAAAACTCATAGACAATAACAAATGCTGGGAGAATGATAGGATTAGAAATTCACCACAGTGCAATTTCTAATAGAATTATGATCTAGATAATGATCAGTCAATGACTACTAAAGACTTTAGGTGAAAGTCTGTTGAGAAATGGATATAATACAATGCATAGGCCAAAATGGAGTATGCCTCTCTCTGACTGATTAGAACTAAATACTCTCAATAGAATACTAAAAGCAGCTATCTAAAGACTTTGAAAGTTAATAATAGGCAAATCGAGGGCTTCCCTGGTGGCGCAGTGGTTGAGAGTCCGCCTGCCGATGCAGGGGACACGGGTTCGTGCCCCGGTCCTGGAAGATCCCACATGCCGCGGAGCGGCTGAGCCCGTGAGCCATGGCCACTGAGCCTGCGCGTCCGGAGCCTGTGCTCCGCAATGGGAGAGGCTGCAAGAGTGAGAGGCCCGCGTACCGCAAAAAAAAAAAAAAAAAAATAGGCAAATCGAGAAAGGAAGTCATAACTTGAAGACTAGGCTGTATAATGGTGAATATACCTTTTCTTTCTTTTCATGACCCAGTTTTGACCAAATGGTGGGCTGAATTAGGGAACTGCACAGTGGATGCAGCAATTTAGAGAAACCCCTATTTCTAGCCAGACGACAAGGAAAAGGAGTACCCCTTTTTTCCCTCCCAAGCCTGCCCTGAGACCATCTCTGCCTATAAAGTTACATTGCCAGGTAGCACAAGCACTTTGAAACTCTGAGAGAAAACGATTTCTCTGGTCAGAGGATTTGGGAAAAAGGCCCCTGGAAACTGGAGCATGCTGGGGAAATCTCACAGAGAAGAGAGCTGATGTGAGAGGAGACCCACAAAGGTCCCACCTTACTTATGAGCTACACATGCATGTACAGACCCAAAGGAACACAGCAAAGACAGAGAACTGACCTACAATATAAACCACTGTTCAAATCCCAGACTTGCCTCTGAGCAGTGCATGCAGAGGATAAAGCCAAAAAACATAGCAAAGACTTTGAAAACTGAGCTGACAGTGGTACTGCCACGCTAGAATGCAATATATAACTTGTATAAACTTAAGCAAAAAAAATACCAAATTCTCCAGAAGTTGTTTATAAAATCTAGTTTCATAACCTAATATTCAGAATGCCTAGGATATAATCCAAAATTACTTGACATACAAAGAAACAGGAAAATCTGACTTTTTTAAGAGAAAAGACAATACATGCCAACCCTGAGATAATTCAGATGGTGGAATTATCAGAAAAAGACTTTAAAGCCGCTGTTATATTATATCCATGGCCCATGAGACAAAAGTGAACATTTTTGAAGTGAATAGAAAGATAGTTCTCCTCTGAAATAAAAACCATATAAAAGGATCAAGTGATAACATCAGAACTGAAAAGTACGATATATGCAATACAAATTTACTGCATGGGCTCAGTAGCAGACTTGAAGATATATCAATAGAAATCTCAAATCGTATCTTCTGTATCAAGGGTATGTCTCTGTTATGTAATACTTGTTAAGGTCAGGTTGTACCCTGTGAAGCCTGGTCATAGGCCTTCTGGCTGTGAATGAGCATGCCATATACATATCCTTTTTTATTCTTAATTACACTTACTTGCATGCTGCAAATAAAATGTGTCTGTATCAAGGGAGTTCCATCTCCCTTGATACTCCACAGATTCAGATAGGATCTTGGCCTGTGATTTTCTCAGACCTTGTCATTTCAGGTAAGGATCAAGCAGTGAATCAGTGTGTTAAAAAAAAATAATAGTCAACTAAGGAACTTAATATGCTCATGTATTTTTGTTCATTTGAAAACTTTGAAAGTACATAGGTATAGAAAAGTGGGAATGGACAGTATATATATAAATCATATATTGCAAAATCTTACAATTTAAACAGTGAATTTTATCTTAAATATAAATGTAGTTATAATAATTTTAGTGAAGAAAATATAGTTCTTGGTGGTAGTTCTCTGAATAATCTGTGGTTCAGAATGCATCTAAACATATTTGAACTAGTTTTCAGATGGTTGTGAACTTGCTTGACCTACTTGGCTGCACAAAAGCAGCCTGGCAGTTTACTCAAGTTTTAATAGGTCAAAACAACTGTCTTTTTTATAAAGTGATTACACTGCAAGAAGAGGAATATTCGTGGCCTTGAAAATTGACATTTTTTGGTTGTATTTTATATGGATCTGGTGGCCTCATCGATGAGGTGTATGTCAAAACATTGTCATTATATTTATATGTATTAATTGTAAGTTATTAAATATTTCATGAGCTGACCCTAAACCTATTTCGTAATACTACTTAATCAAACTTCTTAACAGGTCCCTGTAGATTTATAGCACTAATAAAATTCTGTACTTCTTTTGGGTTGATATAATTCACTCGCTTTTTCTGGAGATCCATCTCAGAAATTTACATACACTTGCCTTTTAAAAACAAAACATTCCAGATCAGGAAACTTGCTCAAGCCTCTTAGATAGCCTCATCCACCAGAGGACAGACAGCAGGAGCAAGAAGAACTACAATCCTGCAGCCTGTGGAACAAAAAGCACATATTCACAGAAAGATAGACAAGATGAAAAGGCAGATGGCTATGTACCAGATGAAGGAACAAGATAAAACCCCAGAAAAACAAACCAAATGAAGTGGAGGTAGGCAACCTTCCAGAAAAAGAACTCAGAATAATGATAGTGAAGACGATCCAGGACCTCGGAAAAAGAATGGAGGCAAAGATCGAGAAGATGCAAGAAATGTTTAACGAAGACCTAGAAGAATGAAAGAACAAACAAACTGAGATGAACAATACAGTAACTGAAATGAAAACTACACTAGAAGGAATCAATAGCAGAATAACTGGGGTAGAAGAACGGATAAGTGACCTGGAAGACAGAATGGTGGAATTCACTGCTGTGGAACAGAATAAAGAAAAGAAGAATGAAAAGAAATGAAGACAGCCTAAGAGACCTCTGGGACAACATTAAAAGCAACGACATTCACATTATAGGGGTCCCAGAAGGAGAAGAGAGAGAGAAAGGACCCGAGAAAATATTTGAAGAGATTATAGTTGAAACTTCCCTAACATGGGAAAGGAAATAGCCACCCAAGTCCAGGAAGTGCAGAGAGTCCCATACAGGATAAACCCAAGGAGAAACACGCTGAGACACATACTAATCAAGTTGGCAAAAATTAAAGACAAAAATTATTGAAAGCAGCAAGGGAAAAACAACAAATAACATACAAGGGAACTCCCATAGATTAACAGCTGATCTCTCAGCAGAAACTCTACAAGCCAGAAGGGAGTGGCATGACATATTTAAAGTGATGAAAGGGAAGAACTTACAACCAAGATTACCCGGCAAGGATCTCATTCAGATTTGATGGAGAAATCAAAAGCTTTACAGACAAGCAAAAGCTAAGAGAATTCAGCACCACCAAACCAGCTCTACAACAAATGCTAAGGAACTTCTCTAAGTAGGAAACACAAGAGAAGAAAAGGACCTACAAAAACAAACCCAAAACAATTAAGAAAATGGTCATAGGAACATACATATCAATAATTACCTTAAACGTGAATGGATTTCTTCTTTGCTTGCCATAGCTAGGACTTCCAAAACTATGTTGAATAAAAGTGGCAAGAGAGGACATCCTTGTCTTGTTTCTGATCTTAGAGGGAATGCTTTTAACTTTTCACCATTGGGTATGAGGTTAGCTGTAGGTTTGTTGTATATGGCCTTTATTATGTTGAGGTATGTTCCCCCTATGCCCACTTTCTGGAGAGTTTTTGTCATAAATGGGTGTTGAATTTTGTCAAAAGTTTTTCCTGCATCTAGTGAGATCATATGGTTTTTATTCTTCAGTTTGTTGATGTGGTGTATCACATTGATTGATTTGTGGATATTGAAAAATCCTTGCTTCCCTGGTATAAATCCCACTTGATCATGGTGTATGATCCTTCTACTGTATTGCTGGATTCAGATTGCTAGTACTTTGTTGAGGATTCTTGCGTCTATGTCCATCAGTGATACTGGCCTGTAATTTCCTTTTTTTGTGGTGTCTTTGTCTGGTTTTGGTATCAGGGTGATGGTGGCCTCATAGAGTAAGTTTGAGAATTTTCCTTCCTCTGCAATTTTTTTGGAACAGTTTCAGAAGGATAGGTGTTAGCTCTTCTGTAAATGTTTGATAGAATTCACCCGTGAAGCCATCTGGTCCTGGACTTCCGTTTGTTGGGAGTTTTTACTCACAGTTTCAGTTTCAGTACTTGTGGTTGGTCTGTCCATTTTTT